CATTGAACCTTATGGGAAAATTTGATTCGGGTCGCGACCAATTCGGGTCGCAACCAGAGTCTCGGAACGAATTAAGTTCGTGACCCGAGGTACCACTGTAATTGTAAGATTACACAGAGGAATCTTTAGATTGAAATGGTGGAGAGTTAATTGATTAACAAGAGGATATTAAACTAAATTGTCAACATGAACTTAAGAACTTCTCCCAAACCAATGTAACTCCTGAGGTTTCTTCTAAAGAGGTACATGAGGAATAATGTTAGATGCACTCTGAATTGTATTTATATAAAACAGAAAAGTAAGAAAGCGGCCATGTTTTTCTTAGATGCAAAGAAAATCTTTGGTAATTTGGAATGGCCTTTCAGGTTTACAATTCTGAAAAATATGAATTGTGGTACGAATTTTCTTACATGGATACATGTAAGAACAAAGAGCCAAGATAACTGTAAATGGACTTTTATCTTAAAAATACACTATAATGAACGAAACAAGGCCCAGTTGTCCTTTCTCTCCTTTATTTCTATTGACGTTAGTACCACTGGCAAAGAAGATACAATTTAATAGAATTTCAGGAATCAAATTATCAATTCAAGAGCATAAATTAAAATTATATGCAGATGATGCTGTACTTAGTTACTTACCCAAAGAACTCTCTAGAGCTAATAATGGAATATATACAGTAGTATAATTTATTATCACAATATTGGATTAATAAAAACACCCAAATGATATGAAACTTATCTACAGAAAAAACAGGACTTAACAGCAAACAACTAAGTTTAACATTACTGCTAAAAATATCAGATGTCTGGAAATTTATTTAGCAAAAAGTAATAAAGATTTATTTAAAAACAATTACTCCAAAATTTGGAGAAATATAATAGTAGACATTTGAAGATGAAACAGCTGAAACTTGCCCTGGTTAGGAAGAATTACAGCAGTAAAAATGATCATCTTGCTAAAATTTAGCTTTTGTTCCAAATGATCCTGATAAGAATTGCAGAAAAGGCACTTAATTATTGGCGGAAACAAACATCAAATTTTATATGGTCTAATAAAAGACCCAAGGTAAAGGTCAAAGAATAAGGTAAACTGACGGCACTCATTTTTAAGTTGTATTAACAGGCTAACTCTTCAACATAGGCAACAGATTGAATTATAACACTTTAATATCTGGATTGCCTTCATGAAAGGAGCAGCACTTCCAGATAGCTTGCACAAATATCTTTGATTTGATACAAAAAGAAAAATACAAACTATAAGGGATTGTTCAATAATGAGTAGTCTCTTTAAACTATGGGACAAATATAGAAAAGGAAACAGTCCAGATTTATTTCCTCTGGCCTTGTTTTTAAATATTCATGATCTGATACAGAATTTAACCCAATGTGGAAACCATACTATATTTGGATTATAATCTTATAAACGGGTTTGTATCACATCTAAAATATGGGATCTTTTAAATATAAGTTTGTAATTTCTGCAGTTTCTCCAGGCTTCCTTTGGCTTTCTGCCCCTTTTGGCTTTCTAAAATTTTAAAAAATATATTCTGGAGGCAAACTGATATAAACCAGAAGACACCCTTGGGAAAAGACAAGGATAGGGAAGTTGGAGCTAATTTTATAGCAATATCAACCAGATTGAAGTAGTGAAAGACCTACGTCTGAATAGCTCCTGTGACTAAATGTTACTACTTCAATGTGAGATGACACTGCCCATGTTTTCTTTCACCTCCTTGTGTCCTCTGCAGCTGCTGTATCCAAAAGATGTTTAGTTCCAGACCCACTGCATTTCAGGAGTGTATTTCCTAGCAGAGTAGCAGGAGAACTATCTCCATTTCTTCCTTTCTAATTCATTTTTTCAGTATAGATGATTCTGTAAAGCTAGTGTGTTCCAGGGCCCACACCAAGTTTTAAGTTGGCATTTGTGAACTTGGGGATTTGGCCTTCCTTCATTTTTTTAGTCTCATGACAGCTACTCTGAGGATTCGGAGCTAGTTTTTAAAAACAGTTTTTGAGCTATCTGCCAGAATTAAACAAAGATAGGCTATTGTTCACTGACTTGTAAAGCTTTAGGGGAGAACAGATTGGCTATAGTGAGGTAACACCTGGAGGAAACATAGCTTAATCAACCATGAAAGAGCTAGCTGTGAAGAAAATGGGAATGACACCCTTCCACGTGGTGGTGGTTATTCATTCCAGAACCTATCAGGTTGTAGGACAATGTGACAAATTCCAGGGCATGCCAGTGAAATATAACATGCATTTTTATCAATATTCCAGAAATTCTTTCTCAGCTCTGAATTCCTTTATAGAAGTAGTAGTAGAAAATAAACTCTGAACTCTCAGAGGAAAAACTGTAATGAATTCTGCATAACATCTTTTGCAAATATACTGATACTTCTGGATTTCTTGAGCTAGTATGAGATAAGTTATTATTGGTCTGAACTGAAACCTAAGTACAACTGTGATTTAATGGAGAAATTCCTTCTTGACTCTAGACTGAGTCACAGAATCACTTCTACTGTATTTTTTCCATTCAGGTTTGGTGGTGGTTTTCAGTTTCCAGTACAATATAGGAACGCATATTCCAAACACATATACCTTGTCTAAAATACAATGAAACATTTCTGTTTTCTGATCCCGGCCAAAAGATCCAAGTGTAGGGATGATTCTGTAAGATAAACCTGTTATATAAAAAAGAGAAAGTTGATTTGTTTGTTTGTAAATGTGCCTAAAATGTTTTTTTTTTTTTCCTATAATAAAAATTACACTGAGGAAAAAAAGTATGTGTGATTGTTTCTCAGGCTAAAAATCTTGTCAAGGCAGGGATGGATGGAAGCTATATATACAGCTTAGCTTGTGGGAAGCAACATGTTATTACCTATAATGCCAGTTCTTAAATAAAAGATAACTCCTAGAAACATTTGATTGGGCAGTGTCATTTTTTGACTATCACCTTACTATTTTTCCTTGGAGGAAAATACATAATTTATTTCAAAGTGTCAAGATTACTCTTGTTCAATATAAATATAGCATCAATTAGATAAAACACTGGATCAGTTTAGGCGGCATATCAAATCATACTATTAAGAAAGCTTATTTAGGATTTGTGCAATTGCTTAATTAGAAATGGCTTATTACCTACAGAACCTAGCTCAGACCCTTGACCTTGGAAGCCATAATTGATAGTTTGGTATAATGTCTGAATTGGCAGGCTGTAATTACATCCATTTCCATTGCTCCATAGAAATTAAACCTTAGTTTGCCTACACCTTTTGAAGTTCACAGTTAGTTCCAGCTCTAATCTGTGGTTAATGCAAAGTAAACGTAATGCAATTTGTAAATTGATTTGTTGATTCTATCTTATCCAATCTGATATACCAAAATTTTACACCACAAAGAACGATTTAGATTGAAAATGATCAATTATGCAATCTAATAAGTTAAATATGACAATTATGTTTACCCATTTTGCAGACATCATTTCCAGGAAATTTGCAGCTAGTTCTGGTTTTGCGTCCAACTGGTTTCTTTCACAGAACTCTCTTCGACATTACATTCAAATTTCATAGAGATGACTATAAAATGAAGCTACCGGTTAGTGCTTAATCTCTTTATTTTCACTTGTAATTTATTTTTGTGCACAGAGTAGAATGATAAGTATATTGGAACAATAAAAAGTATGTCTTTATTATATCATTTTTTACAGTTTTTCTCTGCATCGGCAAATCTTTTTTTCATCAATAATAAATGGATTGAATTTTCTATAGGCAAAATGATGGCTTTAAAAAATAAGCACTGATTTGCCTATGTTTTTTGTATCATATTTGAAATTAGATCATTTTCAAAGTATAAATAATTTTAATCTTTTAACTGGAAGATATGAAAAGTACTACAGCAATTACTTTCATTAAGCAACATTTATTGCTTATTGCAGTGAGTGCATGACAGCATTTTTTTTAGCACATGCATAAATGAGGTTTTTATAGTGCCTCTGCTTTAGATCAGTAAGATTAAGTCTGAGAAAATATGGAAGAAAATTAAAATAGCTTCCTAACAGTTTAATGTAGGTTGCTCTTTTGTAGTTGTCTTCTGTATCCACTCCCCATTGTAGATGTTCTTATATGAGTAATTTTTTTTTTAATGATTTGGAAGAAGTACGATGGACATTGTGAGAGAAAGGGTAAAGCATTTCTCTACTATTCATTAAAGAACTGAGTTTTTCAGGCTTTTGTGCAAAGCTTTAAAAAGTTGCTTGAGAATCATTTTAACGTTGATGAATAGACTCCTTAAAGCAGCTACAAATTTGTTGTTATGCTGACATGGGTTGCTTTTGAGTAATAGAGGTGCTATGTTTACATGAGGTCAGAAGACCTTATTCTGAAACATTTTCAAAGCATGCTCAGCCCTAATATTTGTTTGATATAATTATTTGGTAAAAAGCAATTAATGGGTGAAAAACACCCACACACAAGCCATATTTCCTAATAGGCAGTAACTTTTCTAGGATTAGTCAAAATAACATACATTTGTGTACAAGCTTCTGAGTTTTCCAGAACTGGTCTTCAAGCAGTTAGGTGCTATTATATTAGATTATAAGGCTATGTAGTGCTTCAGAAATCATTCAAAAAAGGACTTCTGAGTGCTTGGGACCATAAACATATTATCTGCCTGCAGCTGTTTAAAGCAGCCCTGTCTTTCCCCAGGATTATATAGCTGTTCTCTGGAGTTGTCACATGATCCTAGGAAATTTAGTGGCTGCTTTAAAGACTTCCAAACAAATTATACTTTTGTTATGCTCCAAAGAACCTTTTTCAATCAAATCTGAAGCATTGCCAGCCCTATTAGATAAGGATAAGAACTTCCGATATCTCACATGGCCTATAAATGTCATACTTTTATAGGTTTTCTCAAGTTCTTAGTTACCATAAGCTTATACATTATAGTTTTGAGTTTTGATTTAAGCAGATGCTTTATATGCTGTTATCATAGTGAAATCCCTCCCTTATCTGATAAATCATGTTTCATTAAATATTATGACTAAGTTTCACAACTACAAATTTGCCAAAACTATAAAGCAGAAATCCAAGATTTTATTCATTTTGTGCTGTGATTTCTGTCTTTTAGATCATAATGCTAAGCTCACTAACAGAATTAAATAGCTACATTGATAGAGCCCAGCTAACTGAAGATCTTGGGGGTTCCCTAGATTACTGCCATAATAGGTGGCTTGCACAGCGCACTGTAAGTTTTTTTTCCTCTGTTTCATACCTTGTTAATGGATGTGGACTGAAATGACAATGATCGTATCTCAAAGAAAAACATTAGGAGTAATGAATTTGGAAGTGTTAATTTATATGATATATTGTTAAAAGGAGTTTTTGATAACTCTTGAGAAAATGTATTAACTTTTTTTTTCAAAATTAACCTATACACATACATACACACACAAGAAAATGGAATGAACCTACAGTATAACTAAATGCATGACTGATTTGCTTTTTTTATTATGAAAGGTTGAGAGAATTAATGAAGGATACGAGGGTGTTAAAGATCCTGAATGTGAGACAAACCATTTTTTAGTAGTCCCAGGAGTAGAACTTGGTGGAAAAAGTGGTCATGGAAGAAAAGGAAAGAAGTGAAAGGAACTAGAGTGAATGTAGAACAACTGCAGAAAGAGAAAGAGTAAGCCCTGTATGAAAAAGTGCTAGAAGAGAGGTTACTTTTTCAACAGAATGAAGGGAAAGCAGACCTAAGGAAAGAGGGTGTGAAGCTTGATTGGAAAGAAATAAAAAGAATTACATTACAGAGTGCCACCAAAGTGTGTGGAAAACTGTTGGAAAGGATGTTTGGTGGAAATATTGCCTATGTGCATAGATAAAAAGATAGCTGCAAAGAATGTAGTTAAAAAGAGAAAAGAGCCATTAAGATTAAAAGAGGCATAGAAAATGCCAAGAGAAATAGTTTTGGAAGTGTGTAAGTGAGCTAATCAAGGATCTTCCAGCATCATGAATGGAATTAAAAAGTAATGAAATGGCTTGGGATGAAACTGAAGTGAGGACTGCCGGACAAAGTGGAATAATAAGAGTGGAACTGAAACAAATGCTGGAAATGTTGAAGTAAATGTTTGTCAAAAGGCATAAAGCATGCTTCTGCCCACCTGGTTATACAGAACTGACATTTAGGTATATCAGAAGAAACAAAAGCACAAGTTGAAGGCAGTGCAAATGGGCTTCTTAATTGTGTGTGGTGAAACGAGAAGCAATAGGTCACAAATTAATGGGTGCTGAATGAATGTGGACTGACTACTAAAGTAAGTGAGCTATACAAAATAAGTTCATTGAGGTGGTTTGGTCATATGAAGGAACTGGTCAAATTGCAGAACAAATACACGGAAGAAGAAGGAATAGATGAAGAGGAAGATTGAGAATGTTGTGGTTGGGTTGAGACCCTGAAGAAGAAAGAGATGAGAATTTTAAAAAATAAAAGGCAGTGTATGAAGTGGCACAGGGTCATGGTAGATGCACAGATGTTTTTCAAAGATAGAAAGGTATAAAGAAGTTAATTTAAAGTAGATTTAGCTATATTTCCAGTCCTTTCCTTGTGTCTTTTCTTTGGCTTACTATGCCTTTCTGCAGTTTGCATAAATATGCAAGTATGTAACTAAAGCATTTTTTAAAAATGATTTTTTTTAATATCATAAGTATACTTTAAAAGTTCGAGGATATATAGTTAAGGAGCAAATGGTGGAGATAATTTTCAATAGAAGAGAATATATGTAGCTCAGGGTTGACTGTGGAGTCCTTCGTGCTCTCTGGGCTTGGTTGTTTGCTTGCAGACATTTCATTACCCAACTAGGTAACATCATCAGTGTGAGTGAGTGTGGGGTTTGCGCCCTGTTTATATACAGTAGTTTGCCCAGCCAGTTTTGGTTCCTTGATTAGTGTATTGTTTTCTGCTTGATTGTTTGCCTGGTGTTAATCCCTGCTTATCTGGGTGTTGGAGGCTGGAGAGGATGTGTCTGGTCTTTTTGTTTCCTTAGCTTTTTTATTGTCTCCTTTGAATGGTGTGTAAATATGGTTTATATCTATGTATGCTTCTATTGATGGCTGATATATCTGAATGCCAACCTTCCAGGAATTCCCTAGCATTTTTTGATTTAGCTCGGTCTATGTTACTCAGTTTCCCAGTTGAAACTATGGTTGACTGTGTCCATGTGTTGTGAGATTAAGAAGTTTTTATTGTGTCTTCTGACTGCTAGGGTTCATGGATGTGCTCTGCTAATATTCTGCCTATCTGTCCTACATAGTTGGCTGTTACAGTTCTTACACTGTATGTTGTAAATAACTCCTGTTTTTTCTTCTTGGGCTACTTGGTCTTTTGGTTTTCTTAAGATGTTTTGGAGGGCTTTACTTGGTTTGTGTGCTACAGCGATCCCATGTAGTTGTAACAGTCTGTTGGTTGTTTCTGAGATGTTTTTGATGTATGGCAGTGTTACCCTTTTCATAGCTTGTATAGGTTGTGCTGTAGTGGGTTGAGTAGTCAGGCACTTTTTGATAAAGTTGTGTAGATGTCCATTTTGTTGGAAGATGTTGCATAGGTGATCTGTTTCCTTTTTCTGGCGTTCTGGGTTGCTGCAGTGTGTTTGTGCTTGTCTGAATAATGTTCTT